ACCACAACATGAGGAACTGTATTAAAGGGTCGCGGCATTAGGAAGGTTGGGAACCACTGCCTTAAGTCATCACCGACTGCCTGTCCTGTGCACCTGGGACACTGCAGTGCACAGAGCGGATGTGAGCCCCTGACCTCAGGGAGCCCCAGTCTGGGTGGAGAATCCGCATAAAATTGCAAGTCATTGTAAAGGGTATTTTGGGGAGTCGTAGGGTGTAGAATAAAGGTCACTGGTCAGGTCTAGAGGCTCAAGTGAGGTTAGGGTTTCATTAGGATTCAGAGGTCAGAGGTCCACCTGTCTGCCCCAGGGGAGGAACTGGACTTGCGGCTCATTCGGACCAAGGGTGGTGTGGACGCAGCCCTGGAGTATGCCAAGACCTGGAGCCGCTATGCGAAGGAGCTGCTAGCCTGGACCGAGAAGAGAGCCAGCCTTGGTGAGGGTCCTTCCACCGGCCCCAGGCTCCAGGCAGCTCCCCGTCCCTGCCCAGCTCAGACCCTTACTATCTCCCCCCAGAGCTAGATTTTACCAAAAGCATTATGAAGATCGCCGAGGCTGGCAAGGTGTCAATCCAACAGCAGGTAACCATGGCCAGCCCCCCTCCCCCCCAGAGCCCAAACCCTTTGGAAAGAACCACAGCCCAACCCCACCCCTAGATCCTCAGCATCTTCCACCCCCACCCCAGAGCCACATGCCACTGCAGTACATCTACACCCTGTTTCTGGAGCACGACCTCAGCCTGGGAGCCCTGGCCATGGAGACAGTGGCCCAGCAGAAAAGAGACTACTACCAGGTGAGGGAGCCATGCTGCCCACACACCATTCCATTCACTCCACTCACCGTCAGTGCTATTGTGCTGATGAGGAAGCTAAGGCCCATGCATGCTGAGGAACTTGACCAAGGTTACCCAGCAGAGATTCAAACCAGGCTTCCTGTGCAATTGCAAAACTGCATTTGTTTGTTGGTGGGGCCCAAGGTGAGGTGCTGAGTGTTCTCAGGAAGAGTCTCTTGGCATCTCTGGATCAAGGCAGAAAGGATGAGGTGACCACTAAGTCTTCTTGTTGGGACACGGAGTGGGGGTGACGGTGTCACCGGGGGATGGCTGGTCAAGGTCATCCTGGGGGCAGGACCCCGCAGGAGTGGGACCTAGGCAGAGGTACATTCAGGGTCTGAGGCAGGGACTGGCTCTCCGTGGAGATGGAGTGAGTCCTGGTACCCTGGGTGAGAAGACCCTCTGGGAGACTGCAGACCCTGAAAAGGATCCAGAGGGTGACAGGCACCTGGCCTCAGGGAACGGAAGGACCAGTGGCCCTGAGGCAGCATCCCTGTCCCCCATCATTGCCAGCCCCTGGCCTCCAAACGGACTGAGATTGAGAAGTGGCGGAAGGAGTTCAAGGAGCAGTGGACGAAAGAGCAGAAGCGGATGGTGAGGCCCGGGTGGGTGAGGATGAGCTAGGGGAGGGGAGGACGGGGCACTGACTGTGCTCCTGCCCTTCCCCCAGAGCGAAGCGGTGCAGGCACTGCGGAGGGCCCAGCTCCATTACCTGCATCGCAGCGAGGACCTGCAGGTGCGCGCCCAGGCATCCTCGGAGGACCCAGCCCCCCAGACCTCACCGGGACACAGCAAACAGCAAGAGCGGCGGCGGCGCTCCCGAGAGGAGGCCCAGGCCAAGGTGGTGACCCTGCTTGGGCCCCTAGTGCTTCGGTGCTCCCCACCCCAGGCTGTCTCCCACCTGTACCCCTGGCCTTGCTTTCTCCAGGTGCAGGAGGCAGAGGCGTTGTACCAGGCCTGCGTCCGTGAGGCCAATGCGAGGCAACAGGACTTAGAGGCCACCAAACAGCGAATCGTGTCACACATACGCAAGCTGGTGCTGCAGGGGGACGAAGTGATGAGGCGGGTGAGACCCTACCCCAAGCCGAGGGCCCCTCCCTCCTGGCATCTCTGGATCCAGGCAGAAAGGATGAAGTGACCACTAAGTCTTCTTGTTGGGACACGGAGTGGGGGTGATGGTGTCACTGGGGGGTGGCTGATCAGATCCTAAACTGTCTCCAGGGTACCAGGACTCACTCCATCTCCATGATGGCCAGTCCCTGCCTCACACCCTCGATGTACCTCTGCCTAGGTCCCACTCCTGTGGGCTCCTGCCCCCAGGATGACCCTGACCGGCCACCCGCTGGTGACACCCCCATCCCTAGGCTGCCTCCCACTGTCTGACTCCATGCCCCCTCTCATGTGTGGTCTCCATGGTCTCCACCTGGCAGGTGACCCTGGGACTGTTCCGGCTTCGAGGGGCGCAAGCAGAGCGTGGTCCCCGCGCCTTTACCGCCCTGGCCGAGTGCTGCGCGCCCTTCGAGCCTGGCCAGCGCTACCAGGAGTTCGTACGGACACTGCAGCCAGAGGCCCCGCCACCCCCACCACCTGCCTTCTCTTTCCAGGAGTTTGTTCCTACCCCGCACAGGTGGGCCGCTAGGAGCTGAGTCAGGAAGGAGCCCCAGACATGGGGCGGGCTGTTGGCGTCTTGGGCTGAGAACTTGGGGTCAAAGAACTCAAAGCCTCAGTACTTGGATTTAGTACCCAAGGCTCTCATCTGGGAAGCGGGGGTTGTCCCAGTCCTGGGAGGGTTGGGACTTTAAGATCACTGCACTGGCCACATGCGCATACACCTCAGGGCTTGCAGACCCAAGTACTTGGAGTTGGATCCACGATGCGGAGCCTGGGTGCGCTTGGCCAGTGTCCTGGCTCTCAGAGCCCTCAAACCTGTCCTCTCAGCTCCCCTCTAGACACAAAGAAAAAGCTCTCCGGCCCCCCACCTCCTCGGTTGGATGAGAGTGCGGCTGAGCCAGGCCCTGGGGAGGACACAGGCGCCGTCTGGCAGGGTGAGTGCAGTGAGGGTTGGGAGGAGTGGTGCTGGGGAGGGTCGTCCTCATTGACCTCTCTCCTCCTAGGGACTCCAGGCCCCACTCCAGGCAGCGATGTGGACAGCGTGGGCGGTAGCAGCGAGTCTCGATCCCTGGACTCGCCCACTTCCAGCCCAGGTGGGGCCAGGACCTGGCCCTGACCCACTCCTAACTCTGACCCTCCTCCAGCCCTGGCCAGGCTCTGACCTTTAATCTCTAACCTACCCTTCGACCTTTAACCTACCCACACCCCTGACCTATTTCTTCAGCCTCTGACCTATCTGACCCCCAACGTACACACCTTCACCCCTTTCCCCAAGGATATCTGTGGGTGGTTCTGAAAGGCCTGAAAACTAGAAAAGTCTGCTTAGCTTTGGAACTTCCCCATGACCCCTATGACCCCAACCTCTGGGGCCCTCTGACTCCAGGCCCTGGTACGAGGCGGCTGGTGAAGGTCTCATCCACAGGCACCGAGTCTTCAGATGACTTTGAGGAGCGAGACCCTGGTAAGGCTGGAAGCAGGTGGGGCAGGACGGGGGCAGGGATGGACCAGGCCCCCCTCACCCTACTTTCCCACAGACCTGGGAGATGGGCTTGAGAACGGGTCCGGCAGCCCCTTCAGGAAGTGGACGCTCTCCAATGCAGCCCAGACTCACCGGCTGCGGCGACTGAGGGGCCCAGCCAAGTGCCGCGAGTGTGAGGCCTTCATGGTCAGCGGGACCGAATGTGAGGAGGTGTGGCCCGGGCCGATGACCCAGTGCTCTCTGCTGACCCCACTGACCTCCCCGAGCCCCAGGCACCTCCATGACCTGATATTCCTGTGACCTTCCTGCCCCTGGACCCGCCCTGATCGAATGATTGCCATGAGCTTCCCGTTCCCCAAGGATCCTCCCAACCTTCGCTTCTGCTGACCCCCACTGACCTCCCTGACCTTTATTTTAGGAAACTGTTCTTTATTTATGCAAAACATTTTCTAAACTAATTTTTATTTGCTACCAATGAATTTGCTCCCACCCCACCCCCAGTGCTTTCTGACCTGCCACAAGCGCTGCCTTGAGACTCTGCTGATCCTCTGTGGACACAGGCGGCTCCCAGCCCGGACACCCCTCTTCGGGGTCAACTTCCTGCAGCTGCCCAGGGACTTCCCGGAGGAGGTGCCCTTTGTCGTCACCAAGTGCACGGCTGAGATAGAACAGCGCGCTCTGGGTGTGCAGGTGCTACCTTGACCCTTGACCTTTGACCATCCCCAGCAATGGCCTGGCCCTCTCCGTGGCTGGATTACTATCCAGGTGTTTATTTCCCACCCTACCCTTCAGGGCATTTATCGGGTCAGCGGGTCCCGGGTCCGTGTAGAACGGCTGTGTCAGGCTTTCGAGAATGGCCGAGCGTTGGTGGACCTGTCTGGGAACTCACCTCATGATGTCTCAACTGTGCTCAAGCGATTCCTCCAGGAGGTGGGTGCTCAGGGGACAGGGCAGGGCCAGCTGGGCAGGCTGAGGCTAAGGACCCTCCGCAGCCTACCCACACCCATGTTCCCTCTGCCATTCCACCCCCAGCTCACTGACCCCGTGGTCCCCTCCCACTTCTACGATGCCTTCATCTCTCTGGCTAAAACCCTGCATGCGAACCCCGGGCACGACTCTGAGACCCCAAGCCCCAGTCCTGAGGTTATTCGCTTGCTGAAGACCCTCTTGGTGCAGCTGCCTGACTCTAACTACAACACCCTGCGGCATATGGTGGCTCATCTGTTCAGGTGTGCGCTGTCCCTGACCTTGAAGTGGATCTGTGACTACTGACCCCTGACACTGACCTCTGACCTTTGCATGTATTTTCTAAGCTCTGAGCCTTAATACATGACTTCTGCCTTTCGGTGCCTACTCCTGCACCCCTTGGCTGGGCATAGAGCTGCTGGTCTCCAACTATGACCAGGGCACTGACCGTGACTTGGGCAAGTCACCACTAGTCCGGCCTCCAGGTCCCACCTGATAAGTGACGACTGTGCACTCTGTGCCTTTCCTTCTCCTCACCCCAGGGTGGCTGCACAGTTTGAGGAAAACAAGATGTCTGCCAACAACTTGGGCATTGTGTTTGGACCCACGCTGCTGCGGCCACCGGACGATCCTGGGGCAGCTGCCACCAGCTCTGCTACCTGCCTCCTGGACTTCGGGCACCAGGCCCAGCTTGTCGAGTTCCTCATAGTGCACTATGAGCAGATCTTTGGGATGGACGAGCTGCCCCTGGCCACTGAGCTCCCACCTCAAGACCCCGGCCCAGGCCCAGGGCCCTTCACAACCAGCCCTCAGCCAGCACCCCCATACCTTGCCCCAGATCCGCTGCCCCCAACCTTACCCTCAGATTCAGACCCAGGCCCTGAGCCCCACAGTGCCCTGGAGAAGCAGCCCGAGGTCATGCCCTCTGAGGTAGGAACCAGCTGGGCCCACAGACATGGGGAGGGTCCTTTCTCCATTTCATCTTCTCATTCGCTCTCTCTCCTCCCTTCCTTTCCCTTTAAAATGTTCTCTTTCACTCCTTCCTTATGTACCCTGTGCTCATTCTAGAAGGAGAAGTGAGGAGTGGAATTGGGGAGGGGAGGGAGCGTTAATAATGGAGGGACAACAGGATACAGCCCTGCAGAGGGTGATCATTCATCCCTTCAACAGAATACTTATGTAACACCTACGATGTGCCCAGCATTGCTTTGGGCATTACATACACATCAGTGAGCAGAATATTCAAAGACCCTGTTCTCTTGGTGCCTGCACTCTCATGGGAAAGAAACCAGCAATAAACAAGAAATATGATACAGAGTTAGTTATATAGGATGTTACATGGTGACAAGTACTACAGAGGAAAGAAAGAGTAGCATAAGGTAAGGGATATCAGGGACAGGAGGTGAGAGGTGATGGACAGTTTGTAGCAGTAAGTAGGATGGTGTGGGCAGGTCTCTTGGAGAAGGTGGATTTGAACAAAGACTGGGAGGATGTGAAGGAGAAATAAGCCAGGGCAGAGCAGGGTAAGTGCGTTCCAGGCAGAGGGAATGGCCAATGCAAAGGCCCTGAGGTGGGAGCATGCCTGGTGTGTTCAAGGCAGAGCTCCGTGGTGTAATGAATGAAGGGAAGGCGAGGCCAAAGAGGTCACCTACTATACGTGAGACTTTACAGGCTTCCTGTCATTCTCGCCACAGCCCCGAGCGGTAGATACTGTTAGTGAAAACCATTTACAGATGAGACCCCTTGGGAGGTTTCCTGGTCCCTCGGGTTCTGCTACACCTGCCACTCCTGAGCCCGCAGACCTCCTCCACTGCAGTCCCTAGGACAGCTGGTAAGCAGTAGGACTCTGAGAGCTGGAATGACTCAAAGTGCTCAGGACGGTTCTGACTCATAGAAAGAACTCCGGCTGCTATTAGCATTCAGCTAAAGGCAGAATAGGGAGACTATACAGCTAACCAGGCGCAAGGTTGCAGAGAACAGAACAGGAAGGAGCGTCACCTCATCCTAGTGTGGAGATGAGTAAATCACAGCCTGGTTGGCTTCTGCTGAGCCTGGGCGGCCCAGCCCTGAGCCCACAGTGGAGACCAGTAACACTGCTCTGCACAGCAGGGCAGTTAAGGGCACCACATCTTCCCAGACACCAAAACTACAAAGGAACTTGCATGACCAGGAACAAACTCTCAGTTCTCCAAGAGTCGCAGAGAACTGGGATTTTATTGTGGGGGTCTTGGTCTTGGGTTTCTCCCTACAGATTCTAACTCCACAGAATGACCAGAGAGAGGAAGTGGCCCAAGACACCAAAGAGGAGAGAGGGGAAGGTGAGTGTGTTGGGATTAAACCGGGAGGTCTGGGGGTACCTGCCCAGGTAGCTTGGCGGAGAGATGACTCCGGGAGGGATGTCCAGAGGACGAGTGATGCTCAGCAGTGACCACCCCATTCCACAGTGTCCGGCCAAGGCCCCGAGGACTCACTCCTGGGGACACAGTCCCGTGGCTACTTCAGCCGCCAGCCAGTGAAGTATCACCGGGGGGGCGTGCGGCCTGTCACCCACCAGCTGTCCAGCCTGGCCCTGGTGGCTTACAAAATTGACGAGGAGACTCCTGTCACATCAGGGCCTCAAGGGAGCTTGCGGGGGAGGGGACCGGGCCCTGCTGCAGCCTCCCCTGAGGGCAATCCGCGCCGCACCCCGCTGCCCAAGCACTTTGAGATCACCCAGGAGACAGCCCGGCTGCTCTCCAAGCTGCACAGAGAGGAGGTGCCCACGGCCACCTGCTGCCCGGACCTTCCGCCGGAGGATGAGGAAGTCGAGCGTCTCTGACCAGCCCAGCCCTCTGACCAAGTGGCCAGGACTGAGGACATAGACTCACTTCTCCCCAGTTCAATGTTGGGGGATCAGGACAGTTCCTATAAGGAAAAACTACAGGCCTGGGGGAGACTAAAACCCTTTTGGGGACAGTGTACCAGGATCCCCCGCACGAGACACGGGTTACTGCCAAGCATCAGGGCCACTCAGGTTCAGAGGTCACTCAGGGTCAATACTCAGGTCCAATACAGGTCACAGGATTGGGGTCTGCCCTAGTCTCTGACCCCTTGGACAGGGTACCGTTGGCTACTTTGGCCGTGGCCACTTCCCACCTCAGCCCACCTCCTTCGATGACCCCAAGTGACCTGCCTCTGGAAGGGCGGGAGTGACAGCCAGATACATCCCGGTCGGTCGGTCGGTCGGTCGGTCGGTCGTGCCTGGGGTCTGACGGCCCCTGAATAAACTGTGTCCTTATGCCCGTCAGTGTCTTTCTTTGCCAGGTGAGGGCAGCAGCCTTTGGCCCCGTTTTACCATCAGGGAAACCAAGGCCGCCTTTCTTTGGGCACCGATAGGCGGTCAGGCTGGACGGGGCACCGAGCTGAGTCATGCCACCCGGCCCCGCGGGAGCTCCCGGCCCGTCCTGCATAACCAAATATAACAAAGTGAAGATAACCCGGACAATGGAGCTGTGTGCTCTTGGCCGGGCTGCGGGAGCCCAGGGCCCGGGCAGGGGGCAGCGC